AATTTATTAATATAATAATTAAAAATATATATATATATATTTAAATATATATATATCTTATAAATATAAATATATTTTAAATTACATTAGTATATATTGTAAAAAATGATTTATTGTTAATTTTTATTTTTTTGTTATTTAAACTTTATATGTCTTTTATTTATCCTATTAGTTTTGTTGAATATATTTATTTATTAAATTTTTATTATATTTCGTTTTTTAACATTTCATTCATATTATTTTTCATTTTATTAATATATCTATAAATTATTTAATTTAATTAAATATTTTTATTTTATATTTAATTACTTATTTATCTAATTCATATTATTAATTTATTTTTATTAAATGAATTCATCAAAATAATTTTTTATTCTTCTTTTTATATTACTAAATTTACTTCTTTTTTTCTTCTTCTTCTTATGAATCATTTTCAAATATTTCATTTAGAAATTTATTATCTTTATCATATAATTTATTATAATCATGTTCTATAGATTCTTTTATTTCTTAAATTAAATTTTCAATATCAGTAATATTATTTTTTTAATTCCTTTTTTAAACCTATAAACATTGAACATTTAATTAATTTTCATTTATATATTTTCTTAAAGAATCATATATTAAATAACTTTCTATTTATATACTTTTTATAATGCAATTACAAAATACTACTTCATATTCATTTAATTTATTATTATTCGATTATTCTTATAATTATTCCATAATATATTTATTTATTTAGTATATTTTTATAAAGATATATTATTTTTTAATAAATTACATAAATAAAAAATAATATTTTTATTTTGAAAAAAAAAATAAATTATATATATATATATATATATATAAATATATATAAATGAACATTTATATATATATATATGCATTTATTTATATATATAATATTATATAATAATATTTTTTTATTGTTTTTAAAAATATTATATTAAATAGCTTTTTTTTTATTGTTATAATATTTTAATCAAAATATTTTGAATAACCAATAACATATTTTTATTTTATATCTATTTTATTTTTTAAAAAATATAAGAGAAAATATTTTAAAAGGACTTTATTAAATAATTTATAAATACAAAATATAATATAATATTCTTGTAAAATAAATTAATTAATTAAATTTTTAATTTATCAAAAATTTTCAAATAATACTTTTTATCAATTAAATTTTGTTTTCTTTATTATTTAAAATTAAATATTTATACTTATTTATTAGTATTAAATTTTTAAAAACTATAATTATAAAAAATTTCTAATCTGAAGTATAAAATTATATATTTTTAATATATAATAATAATAATAATAATGATGACCATTTATATTTAGAAATATTATTTAATTATTGAATCTATATTGTAAAAATGAATCAATTATTTTATTTTTTTTGATTAGTTTATTTTTTGGTTTTCTACTAATTAAAAATTTTAAATTTATTTATTAGTAAAATATTAAAAATTTTATAATCAAAAATTAAATTTTAATTTAGTTAAAAGATTATCAATACATAAATTATATAATATAAATTAATTGAAAAATAATTATATTAAAATACTTGTCTTAATATAGTGATATAAATTTGAAAAAACTATATAAATTAAATATTTATTTTTTCCAGTAATTAAATTCATTTATCTTTTTATAAATAGAAACATAAATAAATTATTAAAAATATTTTAAAAAATTAAAATTATTTTTCTCCATCTATTTTTTTATTTCACTATATAATTTTTATTTATATCAATTTTTATTTTGTTAATAAATATAATTTTTATTAAAAAATATAAAACATTATTATGAATGTTTTAAATATATATATATATATAAAATATCTCAAAATTAGATATAAAAAGATAATATTATTTCTTTATAATACATTTTTTTTTAAAATAGAAACTAATATTTATTAATTTTATAAAATAGCTTTTAGTGGATTATATGAATATATTTAAAGTTTTTATGCAAGAAAAATATTGTTTTGACATTTATATGTTTTCTAAATTTTTTATGTTCGTTAAAATAAAAAAATTATATTAAGAATTAGTTTTTTCTCCTATATATATAAAAAAATAGATATTTTTTTATATTAATTTGAAATAAAATAAATATTTTAATTTATTTACATATAGTATATTTATATATAATCAAATAAATATTATTTAATCAAAAAAGATATATATTATATATAAATTAAAATATTTTTAATTATTTTTATTTTAAAATAATTTCTATAAATCAAATAATTAAATTTATAAATAAAAAATGAATAAAACTTTAATATTATTATTGATTTTAATTATTTTTTCCAATGCCTTTAAATAAAGCATAAAAAATCATATATAAAAAATAAAATCTATCAAATTATTATTATAATTAAATAAAAAGGAGGTTAATGAATAAATGATTTAAAATTTTTGTAATGGTGTAAAAAAATAAGGAGTTAATTAAATTACTGAAAATATTTTTAAATAAGCAGATTTGGATAGAGATGATAATATTTAATTAGCTGAATGGGAAAGAATATTTGGTGTCTAAAAATAATAAAGTTAATAAGGATTTGAATTCAGTATAATTGATATTAATAATAATGGAAAAATTGATTAATAAGAATTTTCAGATGGAGTAAATTCTTTTTATAATAAGTAGTGTTCAGACAGACTAAAATGAAATATTATATATGTTTCTTTTTTTATAATATTTTTTTTTAATAAACATTAATAATTTTTTTCATTAAAAAATAATTATATTATTTTTAAAAAAAATAATATTTTATATGGCTTTTTATTTATTGAGGGATTATAATAAACAAAAAAATAGAATTAGAAATAATTATTTTAAATAAATACATATTTCTGAACAGTAAATAATTCAAAATTAAATTATAAAATTTTTTCAATTAAATATGTTATTTTCAATTAAATGTTATTTAAAAATATATTTAGAAAAATGACCTTTTTATAAAAATATAATTTATTTTTATGAGATTAATTATTATATTAAACGATTTAGCATAAAATAGAATTTATATTTAAAATCTATAATAGTTTTTTTTATGTTTAATACATATATATTTTAATTTTTATATTGCTTTTAATATTTATTTAAATAAAAAAAAAAACTGTTAAAATTATAAAATAATATTATATTAATATTATAAAAAAATATATATTTTTATTTTTATTTATTTATATTTATATATATATATATATATATATATATATATATTAATATTAATATTAATATTAATATTAATATTAATATTAATATTAATATTAATATTAATATTATTACGCAAAATTATATAATGTTTTTAAAAACATTATATATTTATATTTAAAATAAATTTATATAATAATAAATTTTATAAAATTAGATATTTTTTTATTTTGATATAAAATAATATCTTTAAATATTTTTTTTTTAACTGAAAATCTTTAATGAAAAAAAGATTATTATTTTTATTTTTAATATTTTCGAATGAAATTTTTATTTATATAAATAAAATATGCATTTTAAAATCATTTTTTTTAGAAATTTTTATAAAATAAAAAAATAAAATATAAATAATTTTTTTTATAAAAATATTTTAATTAAAATTTTCTTATCTTATAAATCATAATTTTAAAAATATTTATATTTATATATATATATATATTTATAAAAATTTTAGAAAATAATTTTTTTTATTAAAAAAAGATTAAATAAATATAAATATATATTTTATTTTATATATATACATAATAAATAATTTGATTTGATATAAATATAGTTATATTATATAAAAATTTAATATAATTAATAAAACCTTAACAATAAATTATTAATATTATCTCTCTTACCTTACTTCATCTTAATTAAGAGAAAAAATTTTTAAAAAATAAAATGTTAATATTGTTTATTAAATTACTTTTATTATTTTAAAATAAGATGGAGAAAATAACTCTTTGTAATTCTTTATATAAAATATGAAATATAAGCAGCTAGTAATGCTGTATAATCAAATAGATACTGATGAAAATGGAAATACTTTCTCTGATGAAGAAGTTTAGCAAATTAAAAAAAAAAATAACATTCAAAAGTAAGTACAAATAATCGTAAATTATTTTTTTAAAAAAATATTATTATTATATAAACATTAATAATATTTTTTTTCTTTTTCTTTTTTATTTTATATTTAATTTATAAAAAAATTAATAAAAAGTTTGAAATTAAATAAATTTTTATTTCTTTTCAAAAACAAATTAATAAAAAAATGAGTAAATTAATACAAAAATGATGATAAAAAATATATTATATTCTAAGAAAAAACTTTTTTTCATAATTCTATATTCAATTTTAAAATTTATACTTAAACCAAACTTTATTAAATAAATTACAAAAAAAATATTAAAAGAAAAAAAACATATGAGTATTTTTTTTTTTAATTTAAATAATAACATAATAATCAATTAAAATCATATAAAATAAAATTAATTAGATAATTAAATAAAAATAATTATATAAATTAAAAATACTTATATAAATAAAATTTATAAACAAAATGCTTGAATAAACTGATTTTTTAATAAAATGTTTTTGGATTTTTTTCTTAAATATTAATAATAATAAGTATGAATATTCCAAATTTAAATAATTATAATTTTTTAAGGATTTAATTTTACATTTATAGAATATACTTTTTTAAATATATGTTTTTATATTATAATTTAATTTTACTTTGAAATATATTATTTAAAGAAATAAAATAAAAAAATATAAATATTTATAAAAAAAATATAATTTAAAAAAAAAAAAATGATCAAAATGTTTAGTTTATTCTAAATATTAATTTTTAAATTGAATATATTAATATAAAATAAAAAAGTTTTAATTAATAATAATAATTTAACGCTAAAAATTAAGCTAAAATGAAAATTATTATTAAAAATTAAATTTAATAAAAATATTATATATTATATAATTGAAAAAAAGGAAAAATAATTTTTTAATTATAAAGTTTATTAATATTGAATATTTAAATAATTTTTAAAGAAATTTAATATGATAATTAAAAAAAAATTAAATATAATCTGAATTTGAAATTATTAAATATAAAAATTTATTTTAAAAATAAAATTATTTAATAATATTTAAATGAATAAGAAAATATAATTTAAAAAGTATAATATAAAAAGTAATAATTTTATTTTTATTTTTATTTTGTTATAATAAGGGTTTGGGTTTGGGGTTGGGGTTGGGGTTGGGGTTGGGGTTGGGGTTGGGGTTGGGGTTGGGGTTGGGGTGGGG